CATGTCACCCAAACCTCCTCTCTGATCTTCTGTGGGAGCTAAACCCACTACACAGGTGGCACAGAGTTGGTCATTTGGGGGGTCCAAACATGGGTGGGACAGACACAAGGTGGTAGAACCCACCAGGACCATGAAGCCAAAGAGTCTGGACACAACCACATCCCTGAGGACCACAGGGATAGGGAATCACAGCTCAAGGTGTCCCAAAATCCTGGTGGCATTGAGGACTGGTCAGGACTTTGGTGGAGATGTTGCTCCTAGGACTGGGAGGGCACATGGTGCCAGGGAATGTCCAAATGTCCTCCCACTGTGACAATTCTGTGGCTTCTTATCTCTCTCCTGGATCAACACCACCCAGAGTTGGGTGCCAGGAACCCTGGACAGGACACCAAGGCCTTGGAGTGGTTGTTCCTCCTGCTTGGGATGGAAATTCCCTAATTCCCCTCTTGGAGAAGCCCAAATGGTCCCAGGGCAGAATGTGGCTTTGCTGTTAATTAATGAGGAGGCAACAGGTGATTAGTCACATTCATTAATGCCCAGCCCAGCCCTGTGTGTCCTCCCAGGCTGGGGGAGACAGGAGGAGAAGGTGAGGGATGCTCCAGGTTGGGAATGAGGAGCTTGTGTTGCCTGCTGGAACCTTCTTCCTGCTCCAGTAGAGGTTTCTCCAGCAAGGCCCAAACATCCCATGGGTTGAGGGACCAGAGCAAGCACCAAACACCCAAAGCTTCTTCACCAGAGGCTGCAGGAACCATCCAAAGTCACTGGGAGACCTCACACCTTGCCTCAAGCTCTCGGTGCAGGGGATGAGGGTTGGTGTCCCACCATCTCCTCCTCTGCTTGTCCCACCTCTCCTATTGGTGTCCCACCATCTCCTCCTCTGCTTGTCCCACCTCTCCTATTGGTGTCCCACCATCTCCTCCTCTGCTTGTCCCACCTCTCCTATTGGTGTCCCACCATCTCCTCCTCTGCTTGTCCCACCTCTCCTATTGGTGTCCCACCATCTCCTCCTCTGCTTGTCCCACCTCTCCTATTGGTGTCCCACCACCCCTTGTGCTCATCCCACATCTCCTCCTCCTGTCCCACCACCCTCTCTACTCATCCCACCTCTCCTATCGGTGTCCCACCACCC